GGAAATCTGTAGCGTTTCGTGAAGAGGAGGAAGATAACGAGAATAATTCTGATAGTCAGCAAGAAGAAGCAGACTCTGAAGGAGAAATGTTATCAATACTTGCTCATGTAAGTAAAACTGTCTATTCTATAATTATAGACAATTTCTAATAAGACAAATCTCATGTAAATTTATAGGATCTTCCCGAAGACACCGAAGAGGAAGATTATCATCCATCTAACGAACAAGAAGATGAAGAATTTGATGAAGACGAAATTGAAGACGATGATATATCAGAAGCTGATGAGGAAATAGACCCATCTCAACGTCCTTCCACTAGTGCAGTTGGCTCATCAACATCAACTTCAAGACGAAAAGATTTTGAAGAGGAAGTTGACCTAGATGACGAAGCCGAGGACGCATCGGAATCAAATCAAACCTACAAAAGAGGAGTAGCCGAAGAAGATGATAAATCGATACAAAATAAGAAACGACGAGTTTAAAATTTGTATTTTTCCCTTAATAAGGAATTTGTCAAATTCAAATTTTTTCGTGACCGTTTTTTTTTTTTTTGCGTTGTTATCAGATCTAGTATTAATTATTTCGATTCAAAACGTGACTAGACGATTTTGTTTAACATGAAACATCATTGTTATTCTCATTTGCATATCTAATATATTTGTCTGTTGTTGTAGCAAAAATTTGAGAATCTTTTTATTCGGTAAACGATGATGTTTGCTTAAACTTTCACGTGATTTTAAAACTCGTTAGTAACGCGACGCGCGTCTTGTATCGGTACATAACAACATATATATATAACTGAAAAAGCCAAAAAATCATCTAATAAGCATGTGATTGTTACTAACACGTGATATATAACCTCATATATAATGATACATTCATGCTTTCACTTTCTGAACAAATCTTTCTAAGTAGATAATATAAATTTAACAAAACAATGTCTGACGATGAGTACGGCTATGATAATGATGACATTGGGGGGTTGGTTTTCGTGTAGTTTATACAATGTTATTTCTTTATATAAGTTTCTACTACCAGTTAATTGATTCCCCGACTCGAAATATCTGTCAACAGACACGAATCTGATCTAGTAAGTACTTTTACGAAGCACTTATGATCAGTATAACAGTGTTGAACGCTTTTACATGCCAATTGTTTTGATTTGAATGAACACAAAATTTTGTTATTGTTCAAATGGCATAATTTAGTATGCCCAAGCTAGTGTTGGAAATTCAAATGTTTTTGTGAACATAGTTTTGCCTTTACTATGTTCACCTTGAAGGAATAATAATCACAAATAAAAGTTTATATATTAGATAAAAAATTATGTTTACAAATGTGAACATAAAGAAAAAACTTCTGTTCACTGTGAACACTGAAAATATAATTTCCAACACTGGACCAAGCGCCAATACAAAGTATAACGTTCTTGATTTATAATCTTTATATATAAGGACGAATATCAAGAGCAAGATCTCGTTGAAGATGAACTTGAGCCGGATCTTCCAAGCGGGTATGGTGCTGAAGATCAAAGAGATGTGAATATAGACATGCAAGGTGGCGTTGGGATCATCTCGAACGGTGTGGGTGGTGTTGGTATGGATATTGATAAGGCAGAAAAAGTTGTTCAAGAAAAAGAGAGAGTCACAACTCCATATATGACAAAATACGAAAAGGCTAGAATCTTAGGTACTAGAGCTTTGCAGATCAGGTGGGTTTCTTTTTTTATAAATGAATTTTTCCGGATGTAGGATATTAATTGACATTTTCAAAAAGTATGAATGCACCAATCCTTGTTGATCGTGATAATGAAACCGATCCTCTTGAAATTGCAAAGAAGGAACTTCGCCAAAAGAAGATTCCCTTAATGGTACGAAGATTCCTTCCTGACGGGAGCTATGAGGATTGGCATGTTAGGGAGTTGATCATACCTGATGACGAATCCTCGTCTAGAGATGCAAATAGTTGGCTTAGCTCGGGCCACGGTAGAGTTTAGAACCGGATTTTTGTAAACAGAGTCACCTATGTCATAACGGTTCAACCGAGTCAAAAATTTACGATTCGTATCAAAATGGTTGAATACGTAACCTCTAAAAATCTGCTATTACACAGAAAACAAGCAAAATTTAACATATTATTATTGCATTGTGAATAAACATCCTTTTTTTCTAATTTATCTAAATGTTTATCGCGCTTAAAAAAAAATTACAAACTTTTGGAGGCAACTATACAGACTATCTGTTGCGAAAATTTTGTAAAAAATTTTTCTTCATTATTATTTTCTTAGCTTTGCTAATATGTTATACACACGTTCGTTCGAAAGTGCCCCGGGAATTCGTAGCACTGGGGTTCGCGTCATGTAATGTGATTGCACGTACGTACGTACGTAAACTCGGACGGTCACATACTCTAAAGTTAGGATAGATTAGTGGAGCAACCAAAATTCAGCAGACCGACCAAAATTTAAGGTCGGAATAGGCCCGGAGCTAGGCCGGCATTAAGTAATATAATACAAGCAAACTATATTACAGCAAAATTATCATCTGGGCAGCTTTACTTAGTACGTGGGCTACCATTTCATTAGTAAAATTTTGT